GTGTCTCTTGTAAGCAGCTGAGTATTAGGTTTTACTTTTTAATGCCGTCTAAAATCTCTGCTGTTTAACTAGAGTTTTTAGTCTGCTTACAGTTAGTGTATTATTTGTATGGATGATCTTGTCTGTAACCTCATTTTCCAGCTGTCTGTTATTCTTTACACCCCCCTCCACTTTTCTGCTTTCTTTTGAATACAGCATTTTTACAGTTCTATTTTATACCCTCTATTGGTTTTTTAGCTGTTTTTTGAGTGGTTGCTCTAGGGAACGACATACATCCTTCAGTTATCAAAGTGTGCCATGAATTACTAACACTCATGTATAAATGTAGGAACCACCTAACAACAGTATATTCTCACTGACTCACTCAACAAACATCTATCAATGTGTCCAATGCAGTGCTAAGCAGGCAGAATTCAACAGAAAAATACCCAACAACTTACCATTTGTTATTTACTGTAACAAAATAACTGAGACCTCCTGTTGACCTCTACTGTGATAAAATTTGGCCAATCATTCTTAAGGATTTTAGACTTAAAAAATATTTAGTATGTCCAGATCTTTATTTCCAAATACTCATTAAAAGAAACCAGGGTTGTTTGGAGAAATGGCTGACCACAGGGCCAGGCAGGGAGAGCACCAGCTAAGCCTACAGTATCTTGGTGGGCCAAAAAGAAACAAAATGCTCAAATAGCAATGGGGCCAAATGTGAGACACTGTCATCATCAAACAGAAAAATAATGGTAATGGATTATTGTACAACAAATAAAAAAACAAAGCCCACAAACCCCAAAGTCCTAGGGATACTGAAATGAAGGGGGGTAGATTCTTCTTCAGGGAAGCAAGGGAAGAATTAGAAAGCCCCCATTGCCTCCACTAATGTAAGAATGACTCAAGTATCAGCGGATGCAGAGACCAAGAAGAAGAGAAGGCCATGGGAACAGGACAAACATAGTCCACAGTGCCACCTCACAGATCAAGAGGGAGAGGAACGACTCCATGGTATATGCAACCTTCACCAAGCACTCAAACTCAGCATCACTGGTAATGGGACAGACACCTACTGTGTCCCCTGGAGTGAAGCATTGGAACTTACATAACATGGGCTAACATGGACCTAGCCATGGGGGCACTGCCACAGAAATCCAGATCACAGGGCCTTCTGTAATACAGCAAGCCTGAATTTGTCAAGTCAGTACATATATGCACAGGAAGAGAGAGGGAGGAAAAGAGGGGAAGAGAATAAATGCAAATGTGGCAAAACATTAACACTTGTCACAGTTGTGTCAAGCTGAGGCTATATGCATATGGGTGTTCAACTGTACTATTTTAAAATAGTTAAGTTTCAAATTTTCTAGTAACATATTTCACAATGAGCAGCACTCAATGATCTGCTTGAAGACATAACTCTTTAAATCTGTCAGGGGGCAGTGTCCTTGTGGTCTGGGTAACCTGAGGATTGAAATGACCCTGATTTGGTAGATTAATTAATTCCCTGCCACCACACAGAGGCAGGGACCCTACACCTACTCTGAGCAGGAGGATAGAGGGGACACAGTCTGACTGCCAGATTAACATAACTTGACTGAATAGAACATATTCTGGACTTAGACAACTCTGGGTTTATAATCAAGACGACAAAATCAACCAGGAATTGTGCACATGTTCACCTCTACTGGGTTCCTCCTGAATCTACCACAGTTACCACAACTCCTCAGAGACAGGCTAATAGGTTTAATCCCATCTATCAGAGTAGGGTAGCTCGGCCCTACGGCCAACTGACTCTTAACTTCCTTTGTATGACTTATTAGAAAAGACCTTTTGCTTCAAGGTTAATTTTAGACCATGCCCTTTACGTATACTAAAGGTGATGATGAATTTCTAAAGTTAAACAATTACTTGCTTAAGGAATAAAATTTTAAATATACTTCAATTCCCCTGATTTCCTGGAATAGTCACATATGTTTAGTGTGGGATTACTAAGGTACAAAATGTATTTTATAAACAGAGTGAGTTTGTACATGAAACCTTTGGTGAAATCTATCAACTTTGTAGCTTTTATTCTTTTTTTTGTATTAAGAAAAAGAGATTACATTTCATCAACTAATGGACCTATCACATAACTAGTCGGACCGCAGGAACATTTTTTCTGTTAGGAATATGTTTTTAGAACTGGTCCCATTAAGGGCATCTTTGAGGCTGCTTGGCTTGTGGATGCATGGGTTTGGGCAATAGCTGGGTTCACCTATCCAAGAACAGTGCTTTTCACACTGGTAGTTTAAGATCTGTCCTCTAGAAGGTTCTGGAACCCCAAGCATCCTGACTCACATACACTTGGCAGCACAGTGTTATGAAATCCAAAGCTATGTTGTTCATCTCATCTTGCCTTTTTTGGGTGCCTCAGTCACTGGACAGCTATGCTCCTTGTCCACCTACCAGAGCTGGGGGCTCACAAAAAACCAGAACCCCATTTACTAGGAGAATGGGAACATACAAGCCACATGACATACAGCAGCTGGGTGGTACCACCCACGCTGGGTGGGACAATTCCTGACAGTACACTTTGCATGAGAGAGAAGCACCTGCTGGTGGTACTAATGGAAGCCATGGTCCCTAGCTGTGCTCCCTGGCTTGGGGGTACTGGCAGGCCCAGAGAAGTACAGATGGCCTGGACTGCCAGAGCTTGGAGTTCTCTCTAGGGAGGAAGAGCTGGGGAGCCCCACCTGCCCTGTGTCAGAGGCCCATAGCTGGGGTTTCCACTTCAGCAGAAATGGCAGCTGGCCTCTCTTGCCCTCCACAGCCAGGACAGGTCTCTTCTTGTGGCCAAAGGGTCAGAGGACCACCCCCAACCCCGCTCTCAGGCCCCTCAAGAACTCTGGGGCCCTCTCCTGGGAGCTGCAGCTATAGCCTGGTCAGTCGCCTGCCCCAGGGCAGAGCAGGGATTCACTCGTGACTCCAACATCTGACCCTCCTGTCCCTCATCACACTTCCTTTCCCTGTTGGCAGGTAAAGGGAAAGGAGCTGAGTGAGTCCAGGTGCCGGGAAAAGGCATTCCCAAGCGCAGCTCCAGTGCCGCAGCCCCACCTGATAGCACCTAGCTCTAGCCCATGGTGTTCCCTCTGCTACCCCTGCTTCCACAGTGGTGGGAAGCTGCCAGAGGACATATGTGACCCGCCACTTGCAGCCTTTTCTGTCACCCCACAGGCTGCATCTATGAAAGCCTGGCCACCCACCTACCTGGACCGGGTTCGCTTCCTGCTGACCCCAGGGCTGTTACTCATCCGGTAGGCAGTGGGGACACTTCGTTCTTCCCTCCGTCTCTCGGGGGAGTGAGCTCTTCTTCGCGGGGACCGGGACCGGGACCTGGCAGAAGAGACAAGGGTTCACTCATGCCATCTGGTCAGCAGGATGCACCCTGACTTTAGCGAGCAGACCTCGTGTGTGCAGTGGGGCCCTGATGTGGCAAGGTAGTTCATGCTCTGCTCCCCGCCACCCGTCATGCCAATGCCATGCTGGTGGCTGGGCACAGCGCTCTGAGGTTGCAGCTGTCTGTGGGCCAATCGCAACAGTGCTGGAGAGCTCAAGGCCTGACTGGGACAAGCAGCTAGCGGGGCTGCCTCTCCTTCCTCCTGCCTTGACTGTTTTATCCCCTGAAAATGTTCAGCCCATTGGTATTTCCGTTAAAATTAGGTAAGGGAAGGCCATAGAATTCAAGCAAGTCATTTCTGTTTTGAATACAGGTAACAGGAAGAAACTAAAATGTAATGAAGTCAGAGGATTATCTGGAATTTCTCTTGTTCACACTAGCCTCATGGCCTTGTATGAAAAACCAATGGCTGTATGTCTGCTGGCATTGAGCCTAAACCTTTAATCCAATTCAGACCATGCCATTCCCATGATAATTTAGGCTAAATAATTTAAGATAATGAGATTTCTTGGATGCAAAACCATCCACTAATCTTTTATTTTTCCTTCTCACATGCCTGGAAAAAGACTTGTTCTATTCCTGCAGTGACCTAATTACATATTTTTCACACTGGTAGTTTAAGATCTGTCCTCTAGAAGGTTCTGGAACCCCAAGCATCCTGACTCACATACACTTGGCAGCACAGTGTTATGAAATCCAAAGCTATGTTGTTCATCTCATCTTGCCTTTTTTGGGTGCCTCAGTCACTGGACAGCTATGCTCCTTGTCCACCTACCAGAGCTGGGGGCTCACAAAAAACCAGAACCCCATTTACTAGGAGAATGGGAACATACAAGCCACATGACATACAGCAGCTGGGTGGTACCACCCACGCTGGGTGGGACAATTCCTGACAGTACACTTTGCATGAGAGAGAAGCACCTGCTGGTGGTACTAATGGAAGCCATGGTCCCTAGCTGTGCTCCCTGGCTTGGGGGTACTGGCAGGCCCAGAGAAGTACAGATGGCCTGGACTGCCAGAGCTTGGAGTTCTCTCTAGGGAGGAAGAGCTGGGGAGCCCCACCTGCCCTGTGTCAGAGGCCCATAGCTGGGGTTTCCACTTCAGCAGAAATGGCAGCTGGCCTCTCTTGCCCTCCACAGCCAGGACAGGTCTCTTCTTGTGGCCAAAGGGTCAGAGGACCACCCCCAACCCCGCTCTCAGGCCCCTCAAGAACTCTGGGGCCCTCTCCTGGGAGCTGCAGCTATAGCCTGGTCAGTCGCCTGCCCCAGGGCAGAGCAGGGATTCACTCGTGACTCCAACATCTGACCCTCCTGTCCCTCATCACACTTCCTTTCCCTGTTGGCAGGTAAAGGGAAAGGAGCTGAGTGAGTCCAGGTGCCGGGAAAAGGCATTCCCAAGCGCAGCTCCAGTGCCGCAGCCCCACCTGATAGCACCTAGCTCTAGCCCATGGTGTTCCCTCTGCTACCCCTGCTTCCACAGTGGTGGGAAGCTGCCAGAGGACATATGTGACCCGCCACTTGCAGCCTTTTCTGTCACCCCACAGGCTGCATCTATGAAAGCCTGGCCACCCACCTACCTGGACCGGGTTCGCTTCCTGCTGACCCCAGGGCTGTTACTCATCCGGTAGGCAGTGGGGACACTTCGTTCTTCCCTCCGTCTCTCGGGGGAGTGAGCTCTTCTTCGCGGGGACCGGGACCGGGACCTGGCAGAAGAGACAAGGGTTCACTCATGCCATCTGGTCAGCAGGATGCACCCTGACTTTAGCGAGCAGACCTCGTGTGTGCAGTGGGGCCCTGATGTGGCAAGGTAGTTCATGCTCTGCTCCCCGCCACCCGTCATGCCAATGCCATGCTGGTGGCTGGGCACAGCGCTCTGAGGTTGCAGCTGTCTGTGGGCCAATCGCAACAGTGCTGGAGAGCTCAAGGCCTGACTGGGACAAGCAGCTAGCGGGGCTGCCTCTCCTTCCTCCTGCCTTGACTGTTTTATCCCCTGAAAATGTTCAGCCCATTGGTATTTCCGTTAAAATTAGGTAAGGGAAGGCCATAGAATTCAAGCAAGTCATTTCTGTTTTGAATACAGGTAACAGGAAGAAACTAAAATGTAATGAAGTCAGAGGATTATCTGGAATTTCTCTTGTTCACACTAGCCTCATGGCCTTGTATGAAAAACCAACGGCTGTATGTCTGCTGGCATTGAGCCTAAACCTTTAATCCAATTCAGACCATGCCATTCCCATGATAATTTAGGCTAAATAATTTAAGATAATGAGATTTCTTGGATGCAAAACCATCCACTAATCTTTTATTTTTCCTTCTCACATGCCTGGAAAAAGACTTGTTCTATTCCTGCAGTGACCTAATTACATACGGCAGCCAAGCCTTTGGACAAGCCACTCCTGAGAACTCCAACTTGAGACCCTAACTCACAGGGGCTCAAGGTCCTAAATGGAGGGACTCTTAACAATGGGTTTAGGACACTTATTTTAGTATTGTTCATTCAGTGAAATTACTGTTTTGGGAAGACCTGCAATGAGCAGAAATCTGGAGGGGAGAAAGATTTCTTTTTGTTCTGTTTCTATGACAACCCACTCCAAAACAATATAAAGAGCAGTTTGAGTCTGCCATTAGAAATATTCTACACTGAACCATCTTAATTACAATAAAACCCAAAAAAACAACACACACTGTTGGTCCAGAAGTCAGCCTCTTATCACTCCCACCCTCTGGGTCAGATGGAAAAAGCCCTGCATTACTCCTGAGGACATCCCAGCCATGGGCGAGCCTGCTCAGGGCACCATCATTGGCTGCAGAACTACGTTCCAGCTTAGAAAATGGTTTTGAATTTTTTCCCCAGACCTTTTGTAAGATTCATAACAGATCACAAAGGTGAGGTCAGCCAGACACCTTGACATTTTACCAGGTTTTCCCCCACAAAAGCTGCAGGAGTCAAATCTGTCTATAGCCAGAGCTGCCTGATAATTGTCTTGCTGCTGCCACTGATTAGCTGCTGGGACATGGTTCCACACTCAGTGCCCCTTGAACACAGCCCACTGGGAAGCTGTGGGTCTGTGACATGGAGGCACACACTTCGCATGCAGAATAAAATGTGCTGTGCTGGGTGGTAGCAGAACCCTGAAAAAAGCTCTGCTTAATCAAAGCTACAGCACCCAAGGAAGGTGTACACACAAGATTCTACAGTAACTCAGCAACCAGGAAGAATAAGTTAGTTTTCAATGCCTGCAAGTTCAAAACTTTGAATTACAATACCATTCTGCCATGGCTATCAGCATTAGAGTTTCTTTAAGTGAAGTGGCTGTCAGGTTCCAAGTTATCTGGGAAAAGCCCATCTCAGAATTGGGGGCAGTTAGTATGCCAGATAATGCTTAGATTTTATTTTAATTAAAGAAGCTTTAATGCTTTTATTCTGTTAATTAGGCTCTTAATATTGCTACCAGAACACAGTGCAATGAACAGGAATTCCATTTTGCCAAGTAAATCATCTGTAAAATGTGACCAGAGGCCTTCTTAAAAAGAAGATGAAATAGTCTGAATTAAAAATTTCTCAAGCATAATGCAACTGAGATATTTTTTCTTGAATAATCATAATGGTTTACTTTCAAGTAAAGGCACATTTATCTGAATTATAGTGATATTTACGAATAGCTTCTCCGTACTAACATGTACCCATTTCACTTAACCTACTTCCTCCATTCCGGCTACCATGTTGCCCACAGGTCCTCTTTAACTGTACAAATGGAGCAAGTGGCTTAGCAGCAAGGATCCAGTCCTGACTGGCTGCAATGACCAAGAGGCTCCCAAGTTTTAGTTCTTCTCAAGTTTAAGCTGTGGACCAAAGTTCACTTATAACCCTTCCTACTCTCCTCAGGCGCCAGTGTCTCCTGCAGCTCTTTCCCCAGACTGCAGGTACAGATGGCCTGCAGCTTGGTCTGCTGGGCTACGACCTGCTCCCAAGGACAGAGAGCTGCTGGCCCACTCAGCACTGGTCAGCTGGTGGGAACCTCACCCCCCACCCCATCCTTCCCTTTAAGGATCAGGAGATGAACTCAATTACCTTCACTGTTTGCTATGTAGTTTATCATGGGGAAAAATTAAGGGATCACATACTTGAAGCTAAAATATGAGCTCAATTTTGCCTGCTTGTATTCTTTTTTGAATGTTAAATACAGCTGCTAAAAAGTCCCATTAACCCTCAGCTCCCAGCCTCCTCCCCAAGGGAAAGTCCTGAGAGAGTTAACTTCTGTAACCAAACATTCTTATAGGTAGACCCTCCACACAGAGTACCTTGAAGTGGGGAAACGCAAAGCTCTATATAGAACCTCTCCCCATCCAGACACCCCTTAAACACAACTAACCAACGAAACAAACACCAAAGGTGATTTTATCCAAAGTTTAAAAAATAAACTTAATTTTAAGCTTTACTCATACATTTAGCTTAAAAATGCCTAAACCATTAGCACTTTTTAATTTTAGACAGTAAATAAACTGCTACTTCATTAAGGCAGAGAACCTAATGTGATATAAAAATAGGAAACAACAGAGGAAAAATTCTTATACTTCAATCAATGTTGACTTAGAAGACACTAAATACTACCTTGTAATCACTCTGCTTTCTGAGATTTTGGAAACTAAAGGTTTTTCTATGATGAATTCACCTTTGGAGATCTCGCCATCTATAACTTAGACACACTGGGGCAATGGGATTCTCATGACAGTCATTATCTATTTAACTAACATAAAAAGTACTTATAACAGAAAAGGTCTTTTCGGATGTTAACTTTCCACATTTTATAAAGGATTTTAGTCATTTAATACATAAAAGAAAACATATTTCAATTGCAGTATCCTACCACAAGTAGAAATATTAATAAATGTCCACTGCACTTGGAGCTGGTAGTACTCTTTTTAACACAATCAATTAAGGCTGTCAGGCCCAAGAACAAATCTGATATGCCCTATGTTAGACATTATATCTGTAGTGGGTTGTTCTATCTGAGAAGACAGATAAAGAATAAATTATTAACTATCACTAGCAACTTCAGTATGTTGGCTAACATTTAATTATTTTTTATATTTCAATAATTCATATTATTGAGAACACTGATGTTTCTCAGTTACAATTACTGCTTTCTAAATCCACCTGGATCCCTGGAATTTAGTGCTGGTAAAGCTTGCATTGAGAAAGTAGGTCTTAGAAAAATAGTACAATATTACTAAATAAAACACAGCCCACTCTCCTCAGAAGTGAGAGCTGAGGCAGGTTTCTCCAGGGGAAGCCCAGGCGCCTCTGATGGGAGACCTTTCCCCTTCATGGCTGAGCTCAGAGGACTTCTGGTTTCAAGAGGCATCAGTGTCAGGTACCAGCTGGTAAGGCAAACTTCCTGGACAATCAAATGTTTTGGAAGTTTAGTTTCATAATATTATCTTTTTTATTTTTAATAAAGTTGCTCTTTGCCTTGATAAAACCAAATACCAAAGATCTGACTTAGTGAACTTCAAAGCTAAATGCATCATGCAGATACTACCTCAGCTACTGAGACAGAAGAAAGTTTTGAGTTATGAAAATACTCATCTCTGTTGTCATGTAAAGTATTGTGACTGCAGGTCAAATTAAGGCAAGACTGGTAGTCTCATTATAGAACTCATACTCAGACAACCTTTAATTTTTTCTTTTAACTTAAAGTTACAAACTAAGGATTAGATTTTGCTTCTTGCATTTGTCAGCACTGAATATATAAAAACAAGGTAAAAAAAACAATATAAAACATATTTGCATATAAAATACATAACTCTGAATCTGTTCTAAAATAAAAAATTATTTGAAAAGCATTAATACATAAAGTGACTTACTCTGTTATAGATACTGAGTAAAAAAGCACATAAAACCTAGAAACTAAAAATTCCATGTGTTAGATGAACACTTCTAGTTCTGAACAGAACAGTCTGGGAAGAAGTCTGTGGCTATTACGTCATCCTTATGACTGAACAGATGGACATTTCGGTACTAGATATGAGCATCTGCTGTAACTGCTCAACACTCAACATTAAAGCCAAACTCATTTCTCACAGAAATGGTCCAAGAACCTTTACAGTTACCAGCCCCCTAGGCTGGGAATTTAGGAATGAGTTACACTCTTTTCTTTGAGCCCTGTAATGAAGGACAATTGGGAAAAATTTTACTGGGCATGTTATCACTCTGAGGGCTTGTATAGGCCTATATTATTTGTTTCTACTATATAAAGTCCTAAGAAATTTTTTAAATAGGAAAACTTATAAAGTTCTGATATAAACATACAAATTCCTGGGAACTTTCAAAAATAAAAAATATGTCAGCAAAGATGTTCAAAAAACAAGGTGTGCTGGTGGGAAGAGATAAACTTCTAAAAGAACCAGCAAAAATGCAGATGGTCAAGAATCCAATTTATCTGTATCTGTACCTAAATCCAATGTCACTATAGATGAGCAAGTATAAATACTTGTTAGTTCTTCAGGTTTTGGTCTGGGTGAAAATAGGAAAAAGCATATTGGTTTCAGAATATATTCAGAGGCAAATGTGTACAAGTATATATACTTTTCAACACAGAAAAGTATAGGCACCTGCATTTTCCCATGGAAAGGAAGGAATAGACATAAATTACAGAGGAGAAACCGGAGCACAACAGTATAAGGAAAATTGCCCCAGAGAGACTGAGGGAAGCCCAGTCAATGTTTAGGAACACACTGAAAGGCATGATGCAGTTTTAAGACTAGGAATTTGCTTTTCTGACTCTCTTGCAAGCCAGTTACTTAAAAAAAAAGAAACAAAAAGAAAACTGCTGAGGAGTAAAATCTGTGACCCCTGAAGGTTTTCATGTTTTGTTATTTCTGTTGCCTGAAATGTTAGGCTGCTTTCTCAAAAACTGGCTCCAGGTGTAGGCGGCTCATGATAAGCAGTGGCGCCAAGTGGGAGGCCTGGAGGTGGCTGAGAGGGACTCACAGCGTGGGTTTCATTCTTTACCTGCACTGGCAGGTGCCGTGCAGGAGGAGCTGAATGAGCCCGAGTGGACAGGTTTTCACTGTGGCCAGGAGAGAGTAGCATGAGAGGGTCCGTGCACTCAAACACAACAGAAGACCCCCACCCTGAGGACTTTCACACATTCAGCAAACATGCGAGGCTTGCTTCCAAGACCTGTTAAGTTTTAATCAATCTATTTTTTAGAAACCTGGCAGCAGCTGACAAGTTTCAGAAAGTTAAGTAGAAAGTCAGAAATACTTTGGGAAGATCTTAACTGGGGCTAAAAGACACTATACAAAACACTCATGGGGCTGGTTACTAGGCGTGGACTGGCTAATCTCCTGGCTCTGCCCAAGGAGCATAGGTACCCGCACACCCACCTAGAGCGCCGTGCTGTCCGGTAGGCACTAGGAAGACAGTGCTTTGCTTTTGAGTGGGGTCTGGACCTGGACTTGGAGGATGAGTGGTACTTGGGAGAGCGTGATCTTGTTCGAGACCGTTTTTTGTGCTTTTTCTTTTTCTTTTCTCTCTCTTCTTCTCTGGGCAGGTCTTTGCTTCTGCTTGAAGGCCCTTCTGTGGGTTTAGTGTCTAAGGTGGGCAGAGGTCTACCTCCAGCCAGAAGAGGACAGGGCACAGTGCTGGCTTCCTGGGAACAGAAATGTTCTGGATGTTAACAGGGAAAATGTGACATTTATAACATGTATTTATAAACTTTCAACTTTGAAGCCTTCACACCAACAATGCACTGATATCTCAGGGAAGACCACACCTCTTCTTGTTGCTCTAAAAATTTTGCTCTGGCATCTCAAGCAAGAACGAGGGATCCTGAGATGCCGGGAAGTAACCAACCCCTCTTCTCATGCAGGGGTTCACTCCCCAGCTTGTTGGGCTGCAGCAACTGGATTTGATGAAAGACCTCAGAATTAGGGACACTGTGTAGAGAAAAGAGCCACACTGGATCTTTCATAAACAACTGTGTTTTGCACAAAAAAAGAAATCACTCAAACTTCCAGCATTAGGTTTACATGAACCTCAGTACCACTTTGAAAATAACTTTCAGAGGCGTAAACTAAAAGGGGCTTTCAAAAATTTTTTGTCACAAGGAAAAAAACATTTCTTCCTTTTTTTTTTTTTTTTTTTAAACCCCTGACCCTCCCTCCCCTTGCTTTCCTTCTCGGTCCTCCTTCATTTCCCCAAATTGCTCGAAACTTAAGACGTGTGGTGTCTGCAGGTGCGTGCGGGCTGGGCAGCCATGCCGGGGCAAGCCTTCCTTTTTCTTTTGTATTATGTGAGTTGGCAAGTTTTGACTAAACTTATTGTGGCCGTCATTTTACAATGTATGTTCCTCGAGTCATTACACTGCACACAAACCCAGTGATGGTCACCATAAACAAGATAATCCATCAGCAATCAGTCTTACTCTGCAGAGATTAACTTGGCACCATGCTGCCCTTAACAAATTCTCATTGCATAAAACCTCTTCATTCCAAGGCAACACGTGAGTGGGCTGGTCCTTGGGCAGCACTGCTGTTTTCACAACAGGGGCCCCATGCAAGTCAAGGAACCACCACCCTGAGTGGCGTGTACTACCCAGAGCAGCGCCATTTCTAGGAATTTACTCTAAAGAGCCCTTCACCTGTATGTGCAAGACAAAGGATAAGGACAGAGACAAGATCACCCAAGGACCCCCATTATCCCCCTACGTGATGACCAAGGAGCACCAACCATATGGATAGCCATCAGCCCGGCATATCCACACAATAATGCAGAACTTAATGTTGACAAGTGATGAGCTGATCCTGTCTTTACTGACGGGAATATCTGTCCGTGTCACATTGTAAAATAAGTGAACTTACAAAAAACAAAAAAAAAAAACACAAGAAAATCCTCCAAACAACAAGCAGTTTTGTATCTGCAACTGCAGCCCTCCCTCCCAGCCTTGAGAAAGGCCACTCTTCAGTTCGCTGTCAAGCTTGGGCAACTGCCGATACACACTGCACACCTCCACATATACTGAGAAGTCTGCAGTTCACCACTTTGTGCTTCAGAAGAGCCAGCTGTCAGGTTTCCAGAACACAGTCCAAGGCTGAAGCTGGGGCCTGGATGGTCCTACAGGTGCAGGTGCTATGGGTCTGCATCATGGGGCAGGGGCAGGGCCTGTCCAGCACCTGCGAGTCAGCAACAGCTCTGGACCCCCAATGATCTTCTTGAGTCCATCTGGCCGAGGCCAACTGCATGAGGAAAACTACACTGTGTGCAGAGGACTCCTCCAGTTATGCTTCTCCCTCTGGGTGGGAGAAAAAGCCATGGGCTCTGGCGGGCAGGCCTTGAGTCACCTGTTCCCCATCTGATGGCAGTCTCTGCCCCTCGGGGGCAGCCTCCCTGCCAGCCATGCCATCTTTCACATTTTTCACTCCTGGTGAGCAGGCGTGTGTGCCAGGTGGTAAGGCTGCAGAGAACTGCCCCAGAACAATGCGCCGTTCTCAGAGTGGTTCACTTCACTCAAAAGCACTCAGCAGGGGTGCTGCTGTGGGCCCCTGCACCCTGCACCTACCTGTCACCCTCTCCTAACTCAATGGGCCAAGTTCGTGTTTAGGGCTCTGCCAAACTGTTTCCAGGGAACCCACTTCAGTGTGGATGTTATCAAAGTCTTTCTTGCTTCAAATCCTTTCAGTGTAATATTTTTCAAGTTAAATTTTTAAAATTGACAGTAAACACTTGATAAGAAACCAGACTGACTAGAACACCTATTTCTACTCTGGCACCAGTCAGGATTTGTCCATAAGCATACATACATAGTGATAACTTCAAGAATAAAAGAAAACAAATGCATAAGCTTTATAACTTCAGAAGCTGGAGAAAGGACAACACTGGCTAAGCACCTGGCCAGTGCCTCTGCTGCACCCTGGTGTGTGCACAGCTCAGATGTGTTGGCTAATGGAGATCTCTATGCATGGCCAGAAAAGCCAGCTTCTATTGCAGGTGAACCCCAACAGCCAGTCTCTAAATTAGGAATACACGCTGCATGAAAAACGAGCCTGAAACGGGCTGATGGCCACTGTTCAGAACCCTGTGGTGGTTGTAGCCAGAGGGTGGTCAGAGCTGCTGCAGTCCTTTCTGGAACCACCTTAGGGGCCTCCCAGGGAAACAGGGCTTGCCTGCAAAGAGCAGAGGCCTATTTTCCATCCTTATAGGAGGGTCTGTTCTGTGTGAGCAATGAGAAAGACAGGGTTGCTGTCATTCTGAGACTGTTCTTCTGCACCTCTCTGAGTGGAGGTGCAGAGCCATAGCCCTGCTCTATTAGCTGCTGTGCTGCATGAATGTGGGAGATGCACCTGTGGCCTGAAGACATCTGCACAGGCTAGTCCAGATGATGGGGCTGGTAGCAGATCTGGGCTGGGTCTCTACACCTTTATGGCCAACCTGACAACTGCACCCCTGAATTTATTGTTGCTTCTTTGGCCCTATCCTCACTGGTGTCTGTCATTAGTAATGCTGATTTCACTACTGCAGCTGAACATTTTTTTTTTTTAGTGTACAGCTTGGTGAGTTTTGACATGTGTATACATTTGCATAACCATTGTCCAGAGCAAGACATCAAATATTCTTTCCCCTTCCCCTGTTACCCACATCCCCCAGACCCCTCCCCATGGTAACCACCAGTCTCTTGTCTGTGATTTTAATAAGAGTCCATTTGTATACTGTTTTGTTTTAGATTTCATATATAAGCAAAATGTATGATATTTCTTTTTCTAGCTGGCTTATTTCACTTAGCATAATACCCTTTAGGTCCATCCAAGTTGCAGCAAATGGCAAGATATCATTCTTTTTTTATGGCTGAGTAATTTTCCATTGAATACACATATCATATCTTCTTTATCCATTCATCTATTGATGGACACTTAGGTTTCTTTCATTTATTGGCTATAGTAAATAATGCTGTGATGAACACAGAGGTGCATTTATCTTTTCATATTAGTGATTCTGTTTTCTTCAGGTAAATTCCCAGAAGTAGAATTATTGGGTCATATGGTATTTTTTCATTTTTTTGGCATCTCCATGCTTTCCACAGTGGCTGCACCAAATCACATTCCCACCTGCAGTGTAGGAGGGTTCCCTTTTCTCCATGTGCTCGTCAACACTTTATTTCTTGTCTTGTTGACAATAGCCATTCTGACTGGTGTGAGGTGACATCTCATTGGACTATGCTCCAGAAACCTGGCAGCTGGCTCTTCTGAGGCACAAAGTGGTGAACTGCAGACTTTTCAGTGTGTCTTAAGGTGTGCGGTGTGTAACAGCTGTTGCCAAAGCTCCTTGACAGCAAACTGAGGAATGGCCTTTCTCAGGGCTGGGAGGGAGGGCTGCAGCTGCACACATAAAATAGCACTGGTTGTTTGGGGGACTGTGTTAATTTTTTGGTAAATTTACTTATTTACAATGTGACACAGACAGATGTCCCTGTCAGTAAAGACAGTATCAGCTCACTTGTCAATATTATGCAAATACCATGCAGGCAACAGATCTTTCTGCCCTCTCAATCCGTGAATTCTGAATGAAGCTCATTTAATCTGGAGGAGGAGATGGACCAGAACATTCCACTCTGGCTGACATGCTATGCTGAGGGAGAAGCACATGACCCAAAGCCAGCCACCCAGAGTCAATGGGATTCAATGCCAGGGTTTCTGCTTGTATCAGGCACGCTCAGGACATCTCGTGAGCCCCACACTCAGAATGTGAGCCATCTAGGTGCTGGTTTTGCTCAAGCCATTGGAGGCAGTGAGGTATTGTTTCTAACTGTGCAGTGAAAACCCTGATGGATACAGCAATCCAGACTTTCAAACCACAGGGAAAAAAGAATCAACACCCAACCAGCTGTTTAATGTAGATGTTGCTGCAATGACAGAAATGCTCTGCACTGTGCTGTCTAGTCCAGTTAGCTACTGGCACATGTGACTACTGAGCACCTGAAATGTAGCTTAGATTAAAGACATGAAGTTTGAACTTTATTTCATTTTAATTAAGTTAAATTTAAATTGCCATGTGTGGGTAGTGGCTGCCATAGTGTTCCATGTAAATGCTTTTCTGGCTTAACGAGAGTCTCAGTTGCTTGGCTCACTCAAACAGCAAATATGGATAAATGGGAGGACAGCTCAGTCATTGCTGAGCCAACCTACCACACAGTCCCACACCAACCTCGCCTGCAGCCTGGCTAAGCCTCCTGCACAGGGTGATGATGTCAAGCTGCCTGAGACACCTGTAGGGGGCCTGGCAATAGCTCTACCCACTGACCAGCGCCAGATCAGTGAGTTCTTTTTGGGAAGGAATGTTAATATCCCAACAAAAATGATCAAAGCTCAAATCACCACAGGCAAAGGGAGGACATAGTGTTGAGAGTAATCAAGGAGGAACTTTTGAAAAATTAGTCATTATGAGAACATTTAAAAACTTCCTGCCTCCCACTTCAGTAACAGGAAAATAAAATTGATTAGTTCTTTGATCACAGTGAAGTATTTGCCAACAAGTTAGCACACGAGCGAATACATATTATTTCCTGCTGAGGGAAAATAAAATCTCATCTGTGAAGTAGCACTACATTAACTATGAAATGGGGTAATTATACATGAGACTCAAGATTCTTAAAATAAG